TCCAACGAACAGGACGGCCGCAAAAAGCTTTCACTCTTTGTCGAGTTCGATAAACATGGTATCGACAATAACAGACGATCCGCAATTAATTGCTAACAGGATCAAGTAAAAGCGATTCAAATTCGCTCTTGGTAAAAGTGCGCTCATCGTATCTGCATCGTGATCTCCATAATTTCGCGACATACAAGAGCGAAATACTTCCCTCTCACACTAAATAATCGAAACGGATACAAGTACGTGAGCTTGTCGTAAATGTTTACAAAATTCGTGAGATTTGGACCAGATTTTTACTTAGTCGCTGGAATTTCTAGCTTTTGCAGAACGACCACGCGAAAAGGTTATTAATAGTGAGCGGCCGAGCATCAATACGATGCAAAGTCCGTGAGCCGCTGACGTAACAGCATACTTAAGTAAGTAATCGCGATAATGTGGCGATTGATTCCTAGACATGCTGATCTTGTAAAATTAAATATAAGTTGAGGCCATCATTTTGCTCATCTAATCGTGCAAAACACAAAAAGGTTTTGCATTCCAGTTTTTGCCGCTTCTGTGGACCATGATCGATTCCCTCACGTCCAGGGGTTAATGGTAACTCCAAAATCGGTGAAGTTAATATTGTGAAAATATCACCTGTAGACCAGTTAATATTATTATTAAATATCAACTTAATATTAGTTAATACGATATTATATTTTTCAATGATTGCGTAATCGGGCTACATTAACTAATCAGATGTCGTTAACGCTCGACTAGCTGAAGTATTACTAATCAACCGTGAGTACCGGGACATTTGTGAGTGACGGCAAGGTTGGCGTTGTGTGTTGGCACTGCTGAGCGCATTAATCTAGCGCCACAGGCAGCAGGTTTATTAGACGCACGATGTCGACGAGGAGATCGGTAGAGAACAAGAACAAATGTCTTGATTTCGCTCTATCAACGTTAAACAGCTGCAAGCGTTTGCAGTTTTCCATCTCGATCGCCTTTGTCTGTGTCACAGTGAAATACTAGAGCAAATACTCGTCAGTCTTAAAGCCTACTGCTTTTCTAGAACCTGATCGAAAAAGTTATTTGGCTCCGCTCGGTTCACAGAGGTAAGCTGGCAAGAAACGTACTTAAGTGGGAAAATATCATAAAGTATCATGTAGTATCTAATATTTTTCAGTTCTCCGAGTTAATATAAAAATATTATGCTAACTTTTGCAAAAATGAGTTACTAATAATATTTAATATCGATTATAGTACTATTACTATCAAAAATATCATATGATATTTGGTTACCATTAGCCCCTGCTCACGTCGCCCGAGATGCGGGAATTCGGAAGAGACTTGCGTCGCGCTCGCACCATCCTCATTAAGATTGGGACGGAGATCGTCCATTCTCCTGAAGGTCTTCTGGCCATGGGGCAGATCGGCAACATCGTGGAACAGATCGCAATTTTGCACATGCGTGGCCACAACATCATCCTCGTATCAAGCGGCTCGATCACTATTGGCAAAATGGTATTACGGCGTCAGTACCTACTATCGGGGTCGATGCAGTCTCATCTTGGAGGCCAAGTGGAGGATAACATGGAATTCTATGAGAAAGCCTGTGCTGCGGCGGGTCAGAGTGGACTCCAGAGTCTCTACGAGATGTTGTTCTCTCAGTACCATTTGAACTGCTTCCAAATATTGGCGTCTGATGCGGATTTCCGTACGTGAAAATCTCAAAAAGACTTTGGGTACACTGTTGGATGTGGGAATAATTCCCGTAATTAACGAGAGCGACGTCATCACACGTCGAACGGCGCCTTTACTTAGTGGGGAGAAGATGGCGTGGGATAATGACTCGCTTGCGTCACTCTTTGCTCAAGAGATGCAAGTGGATCTTATGGTAATTATTACTGATGTTGACGGCATCTACACGGCCTCGTCACCTTCAGGAGAAGATCGAAAGCTCATCTCGCGCTTTAAGGCAGGCGACAAGACGTTCATCGTGCCTGAGTCACGAGTGTCGTCTATGGGTCAGAACGATAAGGAGCACTCGTGCATCAGAGCGGTGGATAGTGGTGCTGTCCGTGCTGCTGTAGTTGCCAAGGCCGAGCCAGGAGTCCTTCTGCGCATTGTCAACGGTGAACGTGTGGGAGCGCTCTTCATATCGCCGGATGGAAAGCCGATAGGAGATGCCACAACGGAGGAAGAACACATTGACCCTTTGTATACTGGCATTGCCAAACGCAGTCGTGGTCGCTTGAGTAAGTTGTAGACACACAACAGCAATTCTAGTCATTATTCTAGCTCCAATGTCATGAACTTGTTTGCCTATTGTCTACGTAATCTCTCGCAATGAAAAGCGAGGATACTGAGAATCCTGCACAGGAAAACTGATAACCAAAATTTCTGGTCAGGATTCGTACTTAGCAGCATTTGGTAGGCTTCGTGTTGCTTGGGATGGTTGACTTGGATGTCTGTTCGAGTTGGATAACGGGCGCTACGTCGGTCCTCTGCTGTTTGTTTTTATCAGCGTTGTAGATGGCCATCACGAGATCTTCAAATGCTCGACGCACATTGTGGCAAGTCTTGGCGGATGCACGGTGGTGCATGAGTCCTAGCGTTGCAGCTGTCGACTCGTGGAGTTCCTGGTCCACGTATTTAGGGTCTTGAAGCACGTGGGACGACTCCAAGTCCACCTTGTTCCCCACAAACATGACGCAACTCGATAACGTACTACTTAAACCTGCGGCAGCCTTGAGCTCTTTAAGCCAGTGCTCTTGTGCGTTGTTGAAGGTCTCGCGGTTGGTCACATCAAACACCACGAGCGCTCCCGCTGCTCGTCGATAGTGCCTTCCACAACGAATCAAACGCTTATCAGAATTTAAAATATTGGTGACAAAGAGCTTAAAATTATCCCTTACGAGCTTGTGATTGCACGATAACGCTCCTGTCCAGCTGACGATAGCAACGTTAGGCACGCGAGAGCGAGATAAGATTCTTCAGTCAGCTTACCAGTGTCCCAGATCTGCGCCTTGATGCGCTTGCCGTTGGGGTGGCGCACGATGGCAGTTGCGAACTCGACACCAATTGTGGCCTTGCGTACGGCGGA